ACAATAACAATCATAATAGAAATGATATTAATATACTGTGCAAGACTAACAAAACAGAAAATACTGCGCAGCTATTAGAAATAAAAAAAATATCAGACTCAGACTTGAGTTTTTCCAAAAATGTGCATAATGAACATGTGTGTAACATTTAAAGATGCAGACTATTTACAATACAGTATGTTAGTTGATGCTCCTCATGTTTGAGGAAACAAACATCTGTCACTTACCCTGACATTTTGAAGACGTCTTTAATAAATAAAAAGATCAAAAAAGAAGAAACAAATCATTTCATTTCGGGAACTTTTAATGCAAGATTAAGAATAAAGTCTAAAAATAACTTTTTGACCTCCAAAGTCCATGGAGCCAGTGAGGTGCAGATATAAAAACAATCTGTGGTAGTCTAACTGTGGAGCAGCAGGAGGCAGTGACTTTAAAGTAGGTGTCACAGCAGATGAATTAAAAAATCCCGTTGTTTGTGAAGCACACCTGAGCCATTCAGTCGTCGGGCTGCTTCCATGTCCCAAGGGGTCGGTGGGCAGCTGTTTCTTGCTAGTTTAGTGGTGCCACGCTGGCCTACCTGTAGCTCTGCAACAGTTCCTGTTCTCTTTGTTCTTGGTGGCTCTTTCTCCTGGGAAATCATCACTCTGCTGGCTCAAAGCCCATTAAACAGACTCATTCTGTGTGAGTGTGTAAGCATCTATGAGACCAGACGCCGGTCGCGTCTGCATTCCCTGTCCACAAACAGGCTAATGATGCACAAATTGAATGAAAATAGAAAAGGGAGAATTTCAATAACCGCCCAGCCTTTTTCCTTCCCACAGGGTCAATAATTCAGTGAATACACAAGTGTTCCATCTGTTTCAGGCTATTTCCCAATATAAAGTCATTATTGCATCTATTAGTTCACCAAATTTTTGTGTTTGGGTTTCTGATCACCGAACCCAGAGGTGTTTCATCATGTTCAGGTTCTTGAATTCCAGTTGTTCATTATCAGTTCATCTCATGTAACAAGCAGGATTTTCAAGCAGACAAACACTGTTTTGTTTTTTTGTTTTTTTTGTTTTTTTCAGAACCTGCCTATTGTTATGTCTGGATTACAATTCAACGCTCAGCTGAGCACTTCACATAGCAGCTGAACAGAGAAGGTCTGCTTGTTTCAGCTTCCCTATTGTGTTGAGAAGCAGACAGGGGAGGTGACATTTTGCAGACTGTAGAGGGTTGTAGAAAATTTTGGTTGAGTGATGTTTCCCATAAACACATTTTCCGTCGGTTAATTATGTTAGAGCAAAAACATTTAATCTGTAAAATTGTACCTAAGACTCCTCTTTTAAAGTCTAAGTGTGACTTCATGCTTAAATTGTAATGTATAATTGTGCTTTTTTCCATATATCTACCTACCTATAATCCAGTTTCATAAAACTGAATGAAGCATTATCTCTGAAGAAAAAATACTTAAATGTTTTTTTAATGTTTTTACCTTTTTATGAGTGTATTATAAAAGAAGGCCTTTTTCTGCACAGTTGGAGATCTCCGTGGGGATTTCCTTGTTAAATAAAGGAAAAATAAACAAAAGAGTAAAACAGATAATACTACAGTTTCCAAATGCACACAGGTTTTCCTTTAATGGCCTACCTGTTTTATTACAAACTGACCTCAACCTGCTTTGTGCAGTGACAGCAGTTTTGCATGTAAGAGCAAAGTGCTTACTGCAGGCGTACCTGTCTGCTTGCAACACCTGACTGCTGTTGTAGAGTACACACTGAGTCCCTGAAGGTCCTGCCAATGCAAATTCTGTCATATTAATTACAGCATTCCTAATGGGAGATGGAGAAAAGGCTTTGGAGGTTAAAAGAGGTGACTATGTCAGGTTTTGTAAGACAGAAAGACAGAATTTGGGCTTCCTTGTGTTATTCTGTTCTATTAATCAACAAATATTATTATTATTATTGCCTGAGACATATGTTTATATTATAGAGATGTCATTTAATCAGTTAGCTTTGCAAGAATTTAAACTGTTGCAATTTATATTTTCTGAATTCCTAAAATAACTGGGCATATTTAGATTTTATACTCTTTAATTTGTTATTTCCAGCTACTTTACAGGGGTCTAAATACTGACTGATACAGACAGACAGTCACACTGATTCTCCTTGTGTGCATTGTAAAAGAACGATGCAGTTCTTAGTACAGGTGTGCAGGAGGTTAAAATACTTTCCAAAAAGTAATTATGGCTTTCACATCACAAATGCAACTGTGCAAGTGGAAGCCCATTCTGGGCTCATTGAGTTAGAAAAGGCCCTTAACATCAGGATGATGAAAAATTGTCTCCTCCATTGAAGGACGCAGTCACATTGAGCGAAACTCAGATTTACATACAACAGACAAAAGGCAGACTATTTAAATCACTGTCATATGGCGAGGGATGTGACAGAGATGAAGGAGGTTTGTTATTAGCTGCTCCCTTGAGCAGCCTGCGGAGGCCAAGACACGTATCGTTGATTAAAGTGCAGCGGGGCTGAAGGCTGAGATGCTCCCTGCTGGGAGGATTTAGTTGTAGAAGAGGTAGTAGGTCAAAGTGTAACCTGGAGGAGAGCACGACTGAGACACATTTCACCAAATGCACAACAAACTGTCTGAGATGAACTTCAAATATTTCAACATTAATCATTAGCTATAACAGGATAATTTATTAATATCCATTATGATGGATTGGTAGGAAATCCCAATGCAGTAATGTCAAGGTCAACAATCTGATATTGAAGATTTCATGTCCCTAAATCTTAGGCAATGCAATGTGAGACAACGCAAAAGAAACCCAATAATATTACCCTGTTTTAATAAAAGAAAATTATAATTACTCCAAATGACACTGCCATTGTTTTTTAGCAAGCCAAAAAAAAAATCTTCAATAAAATATGTTATCTATGAGGTAGTTGCTGCTTTGTAGCCTATGGGGTCCCATCTGTAAAGGTAAACAGTCACGTCAACGGGAGTAATTGGTGTTATTTAGCCTCTCATAAGGGAACAAAATGGGAGTTCATTTCCCAAACTCTTATTTTTATCATTTTATCCTTTCAGTTTTACATGTCACGGTTTCAAGCTAAATATTGAATTGACAAAATGTTGTAGTAGCTGAAACTATCTAAGTTTCTCAGGGTCATTGTAGGTGGTTATGAATGTGGGTAGGAAGAACTTCCTGCTGTGGCCATTATTACAACAAATCTGATGAAACGTCCAGTTAAAGACGCTGTCGTTCTTCTGTTGTTTTGTGCAGAGGATGCTCAAGGTTGTCCATTATGTTGTTCATTTTTTAAACAATCCTTCTTCACAATAATCTCCAGAGATACTAACACAGTACCAAGAATCACACTCTTCTTTTTTAGCCATTTTGTGGCAGCCATATTTTTGACTTGGACCACAGCCAATTTATCCTCTCTGTTATTCTTTGTTCAGTAGAGAGAAGCAGCAGTCTGTGTGTTTTCTCGTCTGTGTAGCTGAGGTCGATGCTTTCACTTGGTAAACTGGGTCAGGGCTGTATATGGGGATAATTACGCATCTTTGACCAGCTGCCCTTGAGCAGGAAATGAATATTTCACTGTTATATGCAAGGTCATTGCATTTGTTGTTCCGATTTAAAATACTCCATCACAGATGTGCAGGTACGTACACATTCAGGGTGACAAAATGCTATAACACACAAAACAAACAGGTGTATATTCACTGTCACATCAAGGACAAAAGCTGTCTGTGAGTAAACTGTGACAGAATGGATCTCTAGCATCCACGTATCAGAAATGGTCTTAAATATGTCCTTGGGTTATCCTTCTGGTGCTGTTCAGGGAATCTTTCTGTTTATTCGCTGATCCACATTAGGGACAAGAGTGCAGCAACAGCACTGTAAAACTGAACAAGTTTATTACAAAGAACGAAAATGGTAAAGCAATCCTTTAATGCCCTCCAGGCACTCAGGAGGTTGTTGCCATGGCATCCACGTGATCACAACATTTCTTTGTTTTTTGAGTCAAAATGAGCTTTCTTGACCTCGTCTTTACAAAAAGTAGGAATGGGAGGTCTTAAATTAATATTTATTCTATAGTTACTGCCAAGTTAAACTAAGAAATGTTAGACCTTCAAATGCAAATCTAGCTGAAGTGACAAACAAGGAAGCGAATGTCTTGATTTAAAATTTCAAGTACAATAAGCAAAATTACAGGTATACTTAAGGCATCAGTTACCATCCCAATCTGTCACTAAATACGACTGAATAAGACTGCACAGCTTGTTACAAAAATATAGTGCTGTAAAAAATATATGAAAAACATAGAATAGCTGTTCAACTCAACTCTCGTCATTTATTTTGACACCAGATTACCGTTTCATCAATTAATGTCTGGTTTTGTAGAAGTCTGCTTTTACCTTGTGCTTTTGTCTTTAGAGCTAGTCTGTCAGTGAAAACAGAGAGAGTTTTCTACAACTGGTAATATATTTACACCCCACTTTGATTAAAAAACAAACAAACAAATAAAAAATTGAATTTATCTTTCAGTTGGTCATCAGCAGCAGACTCAGCATTAATCACTCACACTAAAAGATACAAACTTGGATTTGGTAGGAATCATCTGTCCTACTAATAAATGTGTATTTTTCTTTAACATGAGTATGATGTGTGCTGTTTGCTTCTATCAAGACATCTAAACAAAAGCAGATGTTCAAGCTGTGCTTCTCAGCATACATTGGTGTTATCTCAATTTTCACTGAGTCATACCTGCCAAAATGTAGCAGAAGTCTCTGTTGATGATGCACATCTGGGGAGTCAGTTTTGCAGCAATCTGGCAGTGACACTGAGCCAAGTCTGCACCCTCTGAGAAGTGATGGCTTATTGGAATTCAAAACCATAAAGTACGACAACAGTTTAAGTTTAACAAAACACACGCAAAAAAATAGTTATAATAATTTGAATAGTGAAATTCGACTATTCTGTTTTCCCCGTCTTTATCCAGGCCCCTCAGCTTGGCACCCTGATGGGCGTCTACCTGCCCTGCATCCAGAACATTTTCGGAGTGATCCTTTTCCTCAGGATGACCTGGCTGGTTGGAATCGGAGGCGTCATCGGGACCTTCATCATCGTCTTCATGTGTTGTACCACTGTGAGTCTTTTGCCTACTTTCACATTTAGACTCATATTGTCTTAATGCTCAAGTTGCCGTGAACTCTAAAAATTGTAAAGCAAACAGCAGCAGTAAAGATTCAGAAGAAATTACTGTGGGAATATATTTATATTGCACACTATTTGTATTTTGTCAGTTTCAGGGAATTTAATGCATCATTTATTTGAATGTGAACTTTTCTACCCTTGAGATTCTGTTTACCTAATAATTCCAGAAATATATCTTTGATTTATTTTTACACACTTGGAGAGACATTAGTTACCTCAGTAGGCATTATCATCCCGCTGCTGCATCCATGTTGTTAAACCAATGTTATTAAACCACTGGAATACGGGTTGAAGCCTGATTCCTTGGAATTGGTACTGACGTCTGCCCTGTTCGGTTTAATCCTAATTTATGAGATATAAACCGTTTAGATTTTATGTGCTTTCACTATTCTGAAGGGGAAGCTGCTGATGAAACATTTATTGGTTGCCTTTTTAGATACAGATTAGTTGGTTTATTGCATATTTATTAGAGGAACAATGTAATGTGGGTTTAGGTTCTAGTAGACAATATTATTCATATTCATCATGATGCCAAGCCTGGTGGAGCTGTGTGTTATGTTTACCTGGCCAGAAGTCCAGCAAGCAAGTGTGTGCAAATATACAGAGTGTTAGCTTTAAATAGTTATTGCTATTCTGCTGTCCTGTGCTGGTTTGTACTTGCTAGACAATTGTGTGCATCTGTTAATATCGTGGCTGTTTACATCCAAACACAAACAGACCTATCTATTCTTGAAGTAAGCAAAACGGCAATTTCAAGAGTGTATTTTTGCAGCAAGTCATTTTCTGCATAAATGCTGTTTCGTAATATTTCCAACTGTGAGACTGACCCGCATCAGAGAGTCTGTCAAATTAAAATGTAGATTGCAACTGTGAAGAAACTGGCTGACAAACTGTTTGCAAATTTCCCAAAAATATATCTGACGGTTATATGTAAAACTAACTTCTGAAAGCGCAGAAAAAAAAAAAAATAATAAAGCTCTATAACCAAGAGACACTTTTTATTCTCAACTGGATTCTACAGATTCCCATATGCATGTAGCAGCAAATAAAAGAAACTCCTTACTACAAGGACAAGGACTACATGCTTTCTTTAAAAAGAATCCAGTGTTGCAGAAAATAATACAGACACAGGTACTGGACACTAAAAACAAGAAAACTGAAGATGAACCACCTTGATGTTCTCTCGTTCCCATTACTGTCACTGTCATGGTGAATTCAGGCCTTGCCATGACCTTGAGACTCAAATGACAACCCTATCCCACAGCACAAAGAGTCCTGCTGTTAGTTATCCTTGTGGATTTTCACACTGATTGTGTTTGACTTGTTTGATGAAATCCATCGTCAGGGAACAAATATTGCAATTTTCCTTTGAAACTGTAAAATTGTAACCCTTTTCAGAGCAGATCTTACAAAAATACAACCGCCACAAATGCCTGAAATCCTTAAATACCTGAGGTCCATTCTATAATTGTCTGTTAGTAGCTCCGTCACCAAATATACTTCAATATGCATTAATACACAGAGTGGAAACCCTCTTAGCATTACTGAAAAAGCTAACGTCCATGGTCTCCCTCATCCCTGCTGTTTGGGGCACAGCCAATCAGCACCAAAGAAAATAAATGGCACTCCTGGATTGGTTGCTTTGCAAATGCCAGCCAGTAGAATGTCAAGTAGCCCTGCCCCAAGTTATTTCTGAAATATGAAGACATTTTAACATCCAGTAAAATTGGGACTATTAACAGTATTATGTGAGCTCAAAGCACTTTTATACTTTGTAGCAACAATGGGAGGTTGACAACATCAGGTGCAGAAATCGCTAATATTGAGCCAGCATGTGGCGACAGTGGAAAGAAAGAGCTTCATTTTCCTAACAGGAAGAACTCTTGAGTAGAACAGAAAGAAAACAATCCAAAACATATGGGCCACAGCCCACAAAAAGCATTCACCAGACACAAAATCAACCTCCTTCCTCTGCCATCTTAGTCCCAGACCTAAATCCTAAAATAACCTGTGGAATGAGCTGAAGAGAAGAGACTCAAAACTTTCTGGAACTAACAGTCATCCCTCTCTCTAAGTAGTCTAACCAAGAGGACTAAGTGTACTTGTAGACATTTTAAATAAATAAAATGATATACTCATATTTTATTACTGTTTGAAACATTTAGAACTTCAGAAACTGAACTCAATCACATTGCATCGAGACCCTCTCATTTCTCCCAGAGAATGACACATGAGGACTGAAATCTTAAAAAGTGTGAAAAGGCAGATTGACAAGAAGCCAGTAAACACACATCATTTTTATATCCTCACACACTTTAACAGCATAATGCCCCTCCGTGTACACACCTGATTAAAGCCTGAAACACACACTCTCTTTTCAGTCTCATGCACACACACACAGCGCTTATCAGTCACACCAAGCTCAGAGCAGAGCCCTGAGGCGATAAGCCAGAGCGTGAACAGTCCATGAGAAACCCCCCGCCCTCAACACACACACACCTCTCTCCTCCTGAGCGTATTACATAACATATAACCACTGAGACCTCCAGGGGTTGCCAGCCGCATGATGAAGGAGTGCATGTGTGTGCAGCGATTCCCACCTGATTGAAAGCCACAGGACTTGTGTAAAGGAATTGTGGATGCTGCAAGAGTCCATGTTTTATTCAGTGATGGGATATTACTGACAGCACGCTTTTCATTAGCTGCTCAGTCACAGCTGCACATATCTGTTACCGAACACACATACGCGTCCTAATTTTTGCTGTCAAGCAGCCTTTTGACAGATTATTAACGAGGCTCTGCACTTTTTTCCAGGAAATCTTTATTAAATGAAAAGTGTGCCTCCATGTGGAACTGCTCTGACACCGTTAACCATGAAATGATATGCATAAGTCAACATAGTGCAGCATTCTGCAAGCCGGTGTATTCAAACATCTGGTGTTTGTGTGTGTGTGTGTGTGTGTGTCTTTATCTCACATAATAAATTTAGGCTTGTCAGGAAGATAAAGAGACGTTTCATATTCTGGATGTAAACTTGTCAGTTGTTTCGCCGTTCTCATTACTCCCAGGTCATGAATCCTAATGCTGCGAAGAAAAGGGTCGACTGACTCATTTAAATGTTTCGGATGATTTTTTTCCTTTTGTGTCTTTCAGTTTTCACTCCAATCTCTTTCCATTCCTCAGTTTCTCTGTGGTTTTTTTCAGTAATTTTTCTCTCATCACTCTGCTTCTCTCTTCTCTTTGTTTCCACCTACCATCCATCTTGCTCCTGTTCTGCCTGAGTTGTCAGCCTCTTTTGCTTTTCACAAAATCTGTTTGTATCCGGCACATTAGCCTAAAAGTGATAATCCTCTGCATCTGCTTCATCCGACACTCTTGCTTTCCTCTGCAAGCCTTCCACCGGGACGTCACATGATGAAGCGCGTACTGAAATGCAGCAGCACGAAAAAGTTCCCTAACAGATTTGTTCAAGATGTTTCAGATTTGTGATCAAGATAAGCTCAGCAAATCCAAAAAGGAATTTTCAAATGGTGCTTCAGAAAAAAAAGTGCTACCTTTATTAAATTATGAATTGAATTTGATTAGCTGCATTTGTTTCATTCAATCAAGCTCGATAAATGTCAGACTCATAAAATCAAGAAATCGCATAAGTAGAACCTGTGTGACAGCAGGAAGTAGGATAACATTATCTCAAAGAGCAACAGATTGACTCCAGTCCACATAAATTCATTTCAAAGCTTTTGAATCTCACTACACAAAAACAGTGAAGACATGGGAAACTGGGAAATCTCCACACAAATGCCTGTCAAAGGTTCTTCGACTGTCCTTTTATGATTAATCCAAAACATCACAAAAAACAGAAGAATATTAAAAGCACTGAAGGTCTCACTTACCTCAGTTAAATTCACTGTTTATGATTCATCAACACAAAAACTGGGCAAAATAGCATCTGTCTTAGTGCTAGAAGGTGAAAACCACTGCTGGACAAAACAGCATTAAAAAATCTCGATGATCCTCAAGGTTTTTGGGAAAATATTTTGTGCACTGCCAAGACAAAAGCTTGCTTTTAGAAAGAGATGGGTCCCTCCACATTTCCTACCTACACTCAAACATTCTGGTGGAGGTTGTGTGATAGCCTGGGGCTGTTTTGCTGTTTCAACCTGAATGACTTGCCATAATTGAAGGAATGTTGAAAAAGGTCCCTTTAGGTAAAAACAAAACTGAAAACATACGATGACAAATGGAACACACAGGGCGTCAAGGCACAAGAGCAGAACAAAATGATACGAAGAATCATGGCACAAATGGAAGGATCCAGCAAATGTAGAAGGTGAAAGAGGAACTTAACCCTTGTGCGTGCGAGGACTGAGGCAAACATAGAGGACTATGGCAAATGATGCAAGTTTTGGACCCCATTTCGACATACAAGGGTTAAATACTGAATGAGAAGTGGCGATGAAAAAAGAGCTAATTACAGGTGAGTGGATGCAGCTGGGAAAGAGAGCAACTGAGGAAAGAATTAACAGCTGAGACAGGAAGCAGAAAAGAAGGGAGGGGATGAGGTAAAAAACAAATAAACATAAGGGGAAATGAAACCTGAACAGTAACAGAAATAAATACTAATCTAATGAAACACATTCAAAAGAAAATAACTGAACAAGAGAAAATCTAAAATGGAAAGATTAAAAAAAAGAAAGAAATTATCAAAATAAAAAAATAACTGAAGCTAAAAGTCCAAACACCTATGGTTCATAACATTTTGTATTTAATCAGGTTTCCTCAAATATTCCAATGTCTGTTTAAGTGTGACAACAAAGCGATAGCAAAAGAAATCTGTAAAAGAGCAAATACTGTCACACCGGACTGTAGGTGTATAAAATGCCACCGAAATGACAAATCTCTACTTCTCAAAGATTTTCTGCATTTGAGAAA